TTTTTCTCATGTTCTTATGTTTCAGAATAGTGGACCAAATTCACTTTTATAAATTCTCTGAAGTTCTGTTGTAGGTTATGGTATTTGATACTGGCTATGGAGGTGGCCTCTTGGGTCTCATGCGCTGAGCCAGCGACTCAGCCAGGTGGTTCCCATTTTGTCCTGGCCTGGCTCTACCCTCCGGCTGTTCCCAGCCCGGCCTCTCTCCAGCTCAGCAGTCCAGGACTGGAGCTGCAGCTGGATGCCTGCCCTTGGGATCTGCGGAGTAGCTGTGCCTGGCAGAAGATGTAGGAAGGCGGGAAGGCGAAGGCTCTGCGCTGTAGCCGAGGATGTGCCAGCCAGCAGGGCTCTGCTGACACTGGGCTCAATTTGGGTGCACTGCGTAACCCAAACTGCAGGGGTAGCATGGAGAAGTCTGGTCAAGGTGTGTACCAAAATCAGACTGTTTCCAAATGGGCAGCATCCCAGCAAGAATTAGAACCGTGTCTTTGGAAGGCTTGATAGACACAGGTTTTCTCTCACCTTTTAATCCTCTGCTCAAAGTGACATCATGACATTTTTCTCCTGGGAAGTGGAATGTGACCACAAGCTCATTCCATTTCATATAAATCACCAAATCATCATGTAATAACAACTTTCAGTTGCTTCAAAGGGAATTTGGTTTTAGGCAATGTTATAGTGCTGCAAAGCATTGTGTCCCTTTACCAATATTTTATATTCTCCTTTATTTGTTGCAAGCTTCATAGAGAAAAGTGCATTCAGCAGCAAACATGCTTTCTTTTTCAACTTCCTGTAGGAGTTCTACATATTTTCTGCAGAGCTGGGGAAAAAGTGTGAAGCAATAAGTGAGAAATTGGTGCATCTGGAAGATCAACTGCAAACTTCGGTCTGCAAAGTTGATGATGGAGTTATTCATATCCTTTTTGATATATATATGTATATATATGTGTGTGTGTGTATGTGGTATATTTGAGATTCACATAGAGTACTATTACTTTTAATGCAAATTGTATATATTAAGAAAGAGAGAATTGATTGTCTTGCTGAAGTAGACATTTTTGTTAGAGCAAGTTTTCCTGTGGTGCATTTTCACTGTAGCCTGCTCCAGCATTAATTGATTTAAAGAGAAGTTGGCTCCTTGTAAATTGTGATTAGGTATTGAAATGCCTTTATTCTACTGTTCTATCCTTTTGTTTATAATGCTCATGTAAGTAAATGCCCAGTGCACAAAAAGTTACAGGGAAACAAGCATCCATAAATCTCAATCTCCCAACATGATTTAACTAAATTAAATGATACATCATTGACTCTGACTGTGAATATTGTTGCCTTTAATTTGGCCTTTGTTCCTCTTGAAAAAAGAAATGGCCAGCAGATGCATCATGTGGCATCCTCTGCAATTTAATTTGCTTCCAACACTACAGTGTAAATTACCAGGTGAGATGTCTTATAAAGTATTCTTAGCTCTTTCTGTGCTTCAACTGTCGTTCAGAATCTGCTTGAAGATTGCTTAACCTTTAGAAAGGCCTGATCTGCGGAATGTTTTCAAAACATAGAAGTGTAGAATATTTTTTCACTTCTCACTTCCATAGAAAAGTTTATCACAAAAACTTGTTAGTTTTCTGAGAAAGGGAAGAGGGTCGAAGAATCAGTGAGCCAGAGGAAGAGAAAAGGTTTTGGGCAAATGGATAATGAAGAAAGATGAAGAAATCCAGGTTTGGAGAGATTACCAGATCACCCTTACAGATGCCTGAGGATGAGTTGAGAGTGACCATGGTGCAGATTTCCTCTACACTGCAGCAGAGATTGGAACAGTTTTGTAGCGGAGAGTTTAGAGAGGGCTGATTCAAAACTAGAAAGTGGAGTAGGTGGAAGCTGTGATGATACAACCTTGCTTTAGCTAAATGGGCATCAATTGCCGGTTATTACAAAGACTCTGTATTACAGATCTGATTTCTTGGCCAGAAAGATTATTTTCGTTTTTAACACAGACCACTTTACAATGTTCTGTGAGCTTTCTTTACAGTATACATGTTCCCTGCTAGTTGTGTTTCCCTTTATGGTGTTCGTGAGCATTCTTTGCAAGACTATATGCATGTATGTCTTGTGCATGGGTCAATATCTACTTCTTTTTGCACTTAACATATATTTGCCCCTCAGTGAACTTTAGTCAGAGTCAAATGAATAGCAGAACATTGAGAGCTGGAGTTAGGGTTTCTGTTCCCATCTTTCCAGAGGCCTTAAGCTCATATTCAGACCCAGCTGTCACCACTGGCTACCATCTAAGATGCAATAAACTCTAAAAGTGCTTTCTTGATTCCTGAAGAAAATAATGCTACAGGAATGTAAAATAGCAGTATCCATATTTTCTATATGACATGGATGTTTCCTTCTAGGTGTTCAAACTGCAAGAGTTAGTAAAAAAAAAAATTTAATCATTATAAATTAGAGAAGAATTGCAGATTAATGTCATTCTAACTCGCAGTAGTCTGATCGAGATCTGATTTAAAGTATCAGTGCAATGTAACTCTTGTTATCTACAGATATCTTAGTCCTCCTGCTAAGACCTTCAGTGACAAAACAAGAAACCGTGCTTAAAAAATATGGACACAGAGAGAAGCAGTTCAGCAATTCAGCATCAATTCATTAACATTCATCTGCTATTCCAAAGGTACTCCAGATCAATATGCATAAAAAGTTACCATCTGGTATATGTAATCACTATGCTATGCTTCAAACAGGAATGAAAAAAGGCAACTATCCTAGTGCTCTAGACCTACAGATTGCTTTCTAAGCAGAAATAACTCAGTGCCTACAGAATGAACAGGCCCACTGGTAACTTGCTTAAATTATACAAACTTGAATTGAGATTGGTGCAAAGATTTAGCCTCAGTAGAAGAACTGATCATTAATGGTTAGGTTTATTATTTGCACAGTAGTTTGTTTTAAATGAAATAATTTCTTATCTCAGATGCTAGGCAGTTATGCATTCTTCATTAAAAATCTGTAGATTGTAATGAAAGCAGTATAAACTTTCCAAACTTTTATTTTCTGGTTATTTTTGTCCATTCTCCTAACCTTCCCTTCACCCCCCAAATAACTACCTTCCACATATAAATATTAAAATTATTAGGTCAAAATTTGACAAGATGCTTCACAGATATAATTAGTCTTATTGTTTTATTATTAAAAAGGCTTTTAAAGAGCACACTGACAAAAATAAATTTCTGATGTGCTCAAGACATTTTTCCAATGTTTAGTGTGTGTGTCGTAGCTTTGATTAATAATTAAGTTTTTATTAGCAGAAAAATCCCAGATGTCATTGTTTCTCATTCTACATTTTGTTGGCAAAGAACACTTGAATCATCCATGCTGCTAGTAATAATTGCCAGTGCAACCTGAGAAAAGGGGGAATATAGTGATATTTCTTTGCCCTTTGTATTTGCACATACCCACTTGGGATTTTCATTTAATATTGAAGCTTTTCTCAGCAAATATTAGACTATGCTTGTGTATAAAAGGCATCAAACAATAGGAAAAAAAAAAGCTCATCTGTAGACTCTGGCAGATTTGCTAAATTCTGTGTAGTACAACCAAATAAACCCACAAAACATTCAAGTGTGGTTAATCATTGGCAAGTATATGAGAACAGTCCACATCATTAAGCGGAAAAACCAAAGGAAGAGCTGTGACTCAGTGCTGGTGTCTGCAGCGGGGATGAGAGGTGTTACTTTCCTGGCAGTAAAGGCCTGGATTTCCCAGTAAAATTAAACGGAGCCTGTATTACAATTTCACAGTCATTTTTGTTCTTAATTAGCAGTTACAGTTGGATAGGCAATTTGAATACCTGTAATAGTTTCTTCTTGTGAAATGCTTTTGTTGAAAGGAAACCTGGCTGGACTATTATTTTAAGCACACACAGAATCTCCATTCCTTGGCCTTTAAACAGTTATTCTGAAATCAGAGTTTTGCACCTACACGTCCACCAGACACTGCAGGTTTCTCACCTTTACCATAATAAGGGCAGGCTGTCACGTATGTGCTGATTTACAGAATCAGGAGGGTAGAGATTAGTCCCTAAGTGGACCTCACTGAGCAATCTCACCCTTGGTGAAGCTGTAAGAAATTCTGTCACCCTGCGATAGCGATGGGTGGCAATGGGTCCCCTTCATCTGTATTTTGGAGAGGAGAGTGGTCTCCGGGAGCGCGTGGCTCAGGAGCAGGTGGTTGGGAGAACGTGCGGACACGTTTGGCAGCCTCACCCCGACGAAGGCAGGTCAGCACCTTTGCAACCAGGCACTGTGAGTGCTTTGCTTTCCGTTGTGTGCTGCTGGGAACGTGTTGGAGGCTGCTGTCACGGGCACGTCGCTGCAGCGATTCGTTTTTCAAAGTGCTCTGGTGGGTTTTTGGTTGGTTGGTTTTGGGGAGCATTTTGGCAGGGAGGTGTTGTCTTAGGGGAAGGGAATTACGTTCTATTATAGAAATGTAAGTGGTTGTGAAGGAGGGAGTTAGCAATGGAGGCAGGAGCAGTAGGAAATTAGCTACCCAGTTTTACCTCTACAGGCACCCTCGTGTTCTACAATGAGGAAAGAGGGAGCCACGTCACGTTCTGAGTCTGAGCCCACATGGACTGGCCTTACTTAAAGGACGTGGGCACTGGCTGAGTGTTTTTCCTTTATTTCCAAACAGTGCAAACTCACGTCATTCCAAGTCCAAACTGAAGCCTCTTGCCTCCTTTTGCTAGCATTGGAGCCTCAGCATTGTGCAGAGCAGGGGATCTCTCTGTATGAAACTGTCTCAAGGGTACTTATTTGCCTGCTTATGTGAAAAAGAGTGTTTTCCCCTAGTTTCTCTTTTACCTGAACACCACCAGGGAATGTTCCTGGTTGAAACTGGTTTTGGCTCCTCCCTTTCGTACTGGCTCAACATTTGCAGATCTGGATAGCAAATTCAAGCATTAAGGAGACATTCGCATGAGTTAGGTGTGAGTCAGTGCCCATTTTGTGCATTTTTAAAATGGGTGAAGCTTTTTATCCAGACATAACCTCTGGATATGGATAGGAATTCCATGCTCAGTCACAATACCATATATTTTACTCAGCTATAAAGGCTAGTTTGAAAGGCTAGTTACTACCTTACAGCAAGTGTGGTATTATTTATGAGCTTATTGCAACTGGCTGTACATAGACCATTAAGACATCTTTCTTGTCGCTCCATCTTTCTGTCAGTTAAGAGTCCCTTTCCCTGTCACCTTCTTTTTCCTCCTTCCTTCAAGGTGTCTGATTCATTGGCAGGAAAACATTTAAATTTTGCTTTTTCTCTCTGACTAAAGAAAATTTTGTAATCATTATTTGGGATATTACAAAGAACAGCGTGTAGTCACAGACTTCACATCAGATGCAAATAAAAATATCAGAGGCTTCATGATGCTCATAAACTAAAAGATTTTTTTGCTATTACCAGTTAGGTTTTCAACAGAACCTCATGATTAAGTTAGAATGGTGCATGGGCCAGGACCACTTATCTGCAGATAGTGACATTTTTTGGTATGGAGAAGCTGCAAGGCATAACTAATTTGTCCATGTCAAGTGTTTCGAGGTCCTAAAATAGAAGTTTAGGGTGTACTAGTATTACTGATAATGAGTAGTCAGAAGTGTGTCAGATTAATAGGACTGTCCAGAAATTAGAAGTATGAATGAATACTTCTGGTAAAAAGTGGTAAACGATTGTAGTAAATATATATAAAACACATAAAGAGGAAGCTTTGAGGAAGTTGTAGGAAAATTAAAAGCAGCCTAAAGGCTTTTCAGAGAGGTAAATGTGACTGCCTGAAATAGAGGTGGGTTGTATAGCTTTCTCATTTCTTCCTCTAGTCACAATTTTTCAAAAGCAGTAGCTCACTTTTTACAGTTGCGTGACCTAAGGGTGTCTTTTTCTCTTGACATTGCATTGACATTGCGGCTGGGTAAAACAACATTTCATAAAGGCTAAAGCCTGTCCTTGTGCATTACCCTTCCTGCGTATTATATTTTTGAAAGTGAGTTGTTTCAGCTTCAGCCTGTTTCGTTTCCCATGAAATAATGCTTCTCACAGAAATGCTACTGATGTCTTACTACTCTAGAGTCTTACTTCTCTCTCCCTTGATCCATTTGTGTTTGCCTTTTGGGGACCTTGCCCCTTAGCCTTATCTGTACCCAAGGGAGCATTGGCCTCATTGAGGTTGTGGGTAGGCCCCAGGGTTTTTTTCACACTGACTTTGGTGTTTTACAGCCTCAGCAGCCCTCCAGCACGTTGCAGCTGGGGAGAGAGGAGAAGGGAAGGTGAGCACCTCTTAAGAGGCAAAACTACTCACCGTTATTTTCTTCCCCAGTGCCCTGCAGGAAACCTGACCTAAACAACAGCAAATAAAGTGTGGAAAAAATCTCAACAACAAGAAGTGTTTTTCTATGAATTATGAGATGTTCTCCAAGTGGTTTTGGTCCTTTCAGCACAAGACAGTGAGGTGTTGCTACCACTAATCTCTTTGCTTTTTGCTCAGAGCACTGTGGATCTTTGTATCACTGCAATATTTTTGTTGTCTGCACTGATAATTACACCGATATTCAGCTAAGATTAAAGCCTTCTGGAGGTAAGCAGAGCAGAAACACTTTCTCTGTTATAAGCTCATTTCACCTATAGACACTCCCCTGTTCTCCCCCTTTCCCAGCGCACGTTTCCTGGCTCTCTCACACCATACACTATCCGGTCACTTGCTTATGGCTTGGACTGCTCTCACCTAGGAGTGCTGGGGGTCCGAGCCCCCCAGGCCTGAATCTCTGCTATAAAAACCTGCTCTCTCTGCAGCAGAATCAAATCTGCTCATGCCACTGCTTCCATGGTACAATTTCTTCATCTCCTTTCTTCCCATGATAACCGTATGCAAGCAATATCCCTCATCCCATCCTCTTTTTTAAGTGCTAAGTAATGCTACTTGAGAAGTTCAATTTACTTTTTTCTTTTTTTTTCTTTTTCACACTTGCTTTCAAAAAAATGTATTAATATTTAATCCAAACAGTTTGGAAGAACTTGAAGCTACAATTAGATAGCCATCTGTTGTGAGCAGCAGAACAACAATTTATTTAATAAGTTGGAAAGAGAAAAGGGGCTGCCAATCACCTATAGATTTATTCCTTAATAGAGGCAGCACAGTCTCTGCAAAGGGAGATCCAGGTGGTGAAGGAGACGCTCCAGACCGCGCTGGTGCAACTTCAGCCAGGCAGGGAGGCAGGAGAAGAAAAGGCTGGAGACTCCCTCTGTGACAGCTGGTGTCCAAGAAAACAAGACCTGCAGGAATAACGAGCAGGAAGAGCTGGTAGGATGACATTAATTCGCAAAGGACTGCTTTTAGTAACTGAATACTGTTTTACCAAGCCTCAGGGATCTCTTCTCTCCTTGCATAACTAATAACTAAATCAATTATGAAGAAGCAGAGCCCGGAGGTCTATCATCTGAAGGATTCTACACAGCCTCACATGTTTTGGCACAGATTGAGAAACAGCTTTCAGAGCAGAGCATCTCCTGTAAATGTGTAGATTACAAATTGATACATTTTAAGTGAGTCTGCAAAGTTGCCTTTAATGTCAGTGAAATGTTCTCCTAGAAGACTCATAAACAATATTTGTCTTCCTTAGTCACAGATTTTTCTCCCCAATTTAAAACCATAACATTAAAGCTGGTACATCTAGTATTTCTTGAAAAATAGTTGTAAGAATATAAGCACTTTTCTTTCTCTGACTTTAACAGCTTTCTTATACTCAACATATTTTTGCATCCCTGCCAATAATTAAATCAATAGGATGAAATTCCAGCTAGCCAAGTTCTTTCAACAGAAGTTTGGACCTCATTTACTCAGTGGTACGGAGAACAGTGGAGGTAACTAAGAGCAGCCCCTATCCTACAGCAGTGGTTTGACTGTTTTCATGTAGATGTTAATATAAACTTGCTTTGATATTACAGGGGTTATAAAGCACACAGTTAAAATAATGTTGGTGATTTGTGCTACTTATATTTAATTACTGTATGAACAATGTCATTTAAATCTCTTTGTAAAATTTATTAATACTATTATATTACTTTAATCTTCTTTATAAAAGTTAGAAGGAATAGACACATATGTATGCATATACATACTTAAACATGTATTTTTAATAGGCGATAAGAAAAATGTTCAAATGAGACCAAATGCTATAAATAATCTGCATTAAGATCAGTGTTCAAAATAGTTAATGATTAAGAATTCATAGTCTCCTCTTACTTGGGTACTAGAGTATATCTGATATCACACAAAATTCAGCTTCTGCCATTTGTTCCAGAGAAGAATTAAAAATATATAATTATATGATTAATTATCTGTTTTAAGCCAGTAAATGAAGCAAATCACTTGCAACTCATTACTGTACTTTTTAATACTACCTTTGTCTGACATGTTTAGACTGACTGTTTCTGCTACTTTGATTACTCATTTCACAGTCACATTGTGAAGGTTTTTGCAAATTTGGAAGCTCATTGGACTACTAGTCCTGTAAGATTATGTTCATTTTGCTCGTGTGTTTTAATACTAGCTGAAACTTCTACCTCAGTGTTAACTATATAGGGAGAAAAAGAGTGCCAGGCAGCTGAGACAATCGTGCAACAGGGTTATAATTGCATCCAGAAGTATACGGTTGTCAAACGAGGGGAGCAGAGCTCAAGTGGTTGCTGCAGTCATCAGATCCTCAGGATATAATTACAACCCTGTAATTCAAAGCATGGGTGACTTTTATCTTTGTATAATATGTGGGTCAGCGTCCGTGTTGTGGTTAAGAGCCTTGGCTCACGACCGTGCGTGGACTGCAGTACTCCCTTCCCATCACGGGTCCTGGATGGAGGTCTCTTGCTGCTCTGCAGCCTCTTTCTTTGACAGGTCTCCTTCTCCCAGCTTTGCTGGCTGGACCCTTGTTTGCTACCTACCTCCCTGCTGCGGATGTGGCACTTTCTGAAAACTCCCCCAGACAGATGAGCAGAGCATTGGTCACAGCTATGGGGAGCAGCCCTGCTGCTCTTCTGTGACCAGCTGCCGTTCAGCCCCAGGCGCAGACCCAGCTCCAGCCGGGGAAGCCCTGGGTGGGCTCAGGCAACGCGGCTGCCTCGGGAAGACCATGAACCACAAAGTGTTCACAGAAACTGGCATGAATTCAGGTAAACAAAAAGAAAACACACTGACAGAACAGACCTAACAGCTGTTTCCTTAAGGCAAGTTGAAGCTGCTTGTGGGTTGCCATCAGAGTGTCCAGGTATTGCAATGAGCATTTGTAGGACTGCAAGCCCACTGTGAGCACAGCCCAGAGAGATGAACAGTGCACTAAAATTGCATGACTCCTGTCTTCCCATGTGCCAAGGAGAGTGTAGAGTTTTGTCCTTTGATAATGTAGTGCCTTTAAGCTAAATAGTTGGAGGGCACTGTAAATGTCTTGGAGCCAGGATCTGCCACAGCTGAACCGTGAAGTCATCCTCCTTGCAGTTCTCAGGACTCGGTGATTGGCATAGGAACCTGTGTAAGGACAGACAAATAGCACCCTCGTTCTCAATAGCAGGAGTTTTTGAAGACTTTCCAGCTCACTTAAAAACCTGTGTGGCTTTCATGTTTCCCAGCTTCAGAATGCCAGTGCATTTTAATAAAACTCAACTTATGCAACCACTTTAAGGCACTGAACTCCTGAGAAGGAGGGAAACTGAATCTGTCCTCATTTATGTCATATGTGTATCTATTAACATTTATTTTATACATACTGTGGACTACTACTACTTTATTTATTATTCCATTAACTTCACTATTTGATGTGGGAAGTTAGAGCCAGTAATCAGTCTTTTTCTCAGACATGCTGAATAATAAGCATACTTAAAAAAAACAGAGAGTATGCTACATAATATCTCAGCTGTTTTTATATCTGTGGATAAAATCCTTTTCAATTAAAGAGTATGTTTTTAACAAAACAGCTGTCATTGCATTCTTTCCTGCTGGGATGGAGGAGGGAGGATAGGGGCAGGCAAGGAAGGGAGAAAACATGTGCATGGCAGTGGTGCCTCTGCTTGGGAAGTTCCGTGGTGCCTTCCAGAAACTGTGTAAAAGAAATGATGCATTAGAGACTGGAGTCCCACAGCAAGAGGTAGGTATCTTCAGTGTGAGAGGGAGAGAAATCTGAGCCATACGGACATGCAAAACCTGGGCTTGAGCCCCAGCTCAGGCAGTCTTCCTGTGTGGCAGATACCTGCGTGCCTCCCTGAGTACCTCACCCAAGGGAGGAGAGCTCTTCCCTTGGCCGTGGAGAAGGGTCAGGGTATGGGTAGTGTGTAGGACTGCCTACAGTAACTGTTCAAGGTAGTCATGTTGTTACACACCATCAATGCCAGTCTGTGCCACAATGAAATGACGAGGCTCCTCCACCCATCAGAGGTAGGGGAGGCTGTGACCTGAGGACCAGTGTTGCACTTGCTTGCCAAGACTGTGTCATCTCCAGGCAGACTGGTCTCCTACCGCCTACAGACACGAATCCCACCAGAGAAAGCCCCTTTCCTGAATGTCACACGCTCTCTCCATCCCAAACGCCAGACCTGGAGGGGGTTGAGTGCACAGAGGGGTGCCTCGGCTTTGAGCACAGAAGTATGTGAAACAGCAGTAGAGCTCTGAGGGGGTCACGAGGAGGCAGCTCATGCCAAGCAGCGCGTGTGCCCCCGGAGGGAGAGCGAGCTGCGCTGAGGTGCAAGCGTGCCAGCGAGCAAGGAAAGGAGCAAAGAGGGAGCAGCACCCCAAAGGGTGCTCATGTTTCTGTTCTCAATCAATTAGCTAATCCGGCCTTTCTAAAGCTTGACATTTCAGTCTTTTGCTTTTCCCATTATTACGTGTTAAATCAAGATAAGCACATCTCTTCTGGAGCAGCTGGAGAAGGCAGTTATATAATGGCTACCAGATCTGTGGTAGTGCTTGAGGAAGCTCCAGGGTGGGATTAGAATAATCCTTATGTATCCTCTTAGTTTACTATCCTATTAAAAATGAGACTGGGACCAAGAGATTTTTAGTTTCAGAGCTTAACATATGCCACAAAGAAGCTCTAAAATACTATGCATATGTGGATATTTTTCTGCACTGTTAAGGAGGATGATAACACACATTTCTGGAGATATATTTAAAAAAAGGATATATGAATGCAAAAATTTCTTTTTGAACCTGAAAAGCAGCCAAGCCAGCAGCCACAGTAAAGCATTTATCTCAAATTTCTAATGAAGCCTGGGAAAAGAGCACCTGGGGTTGTGTGAGTAAGGAAATTTCTGCTTTTTGAACATGTTTGGTATTCAGTCACTCTCTTAGCTCCTTGTTTGTAAGGAGGCACACCTCAGTGTGTGTGTGTTGTATGCATCAATATAATGGCCTGAGAAGTTGAATAAGAAGTTTATAATGGTAATAAACATCAACACAGGAATACTAAGTCAAGAGAAAGAGCTAATAAGAAAATAATCATGCTCATAGCTAGATGTTACATGAGAGATTGCATGGGAGAACTGGATAAAAATAAAATAACTTGGCACAAGGGCAATACTTTCCAGACAAAGGAAATCAGAAATGCTAAAGAAGAGCCCCTCCGGATTAGCTAAGTACGCACAAAATTGTAAGGATATCAGCTCACTCGCAAAACCTATTCTGATGCCAGTTTTCCAGTGTTAGAATTGCAAAACTGATGAAGGCAAAACCAAGCCGGGCTGTCCACAATCTGCCGCTCCGCACGCACGCCTCAGCTCATGAGCACCGTTGTGGAGCGTTATCAGCTGTTACACGCAGCAGCGAGGTGGCTGCTTTGTGCCCGCTGGCAGCCTGCCTCGTGCCATGCAAGATTCATGAGCAGCAACCTGGAGCTGCTTGCAGATCTGCGCAGATGAGCTTCTCCAGGACTGTATTTGGCATCAGTGTCACACTGATGGGTTTAGTGACACCTGAGCCAACCTGTTCTACTCCCTAGTGGTAGTGAGGGAAGTAAATGGCCATCCATCTTACTACTTCTGTATTCTTCCAGAACCTTAAAATTTTCCTTTCCTATTGCTTTTCCTTTATGTAGCATTTTCAAGCCACTTTCCATACATATTCCATGAGGCGAGGTCTGCATTTTAAACATCTGATTTTATTTCCTTTCTCTACTACTAATACAGTAAAAGCAAGCAATGAGGTACTTCTTGTTCTTAGAAATACAGGATTACTTTGGATCACAGTTAACTACTTTACACTGTTACCACCCAAGAGTTTACAATAGCTTCAACGTGACTTCTGCAACAGCTGCTAAATAGTTGACCAAGATCTTTCCCCACTCAGGGTCTTAACTAAGAACATGGCATTGCCACCTGCCCTGAGCACTAGCAAGATCCAGAAGCCCTGCCAACTTCACTGTCCACACGAGGTAAAAGTGGACAAGGTTTTAGGAAGAGAGCTACGAGAATGGTTGAAGATTGGGAAAATGCCCCTTATAACAAAAGACCAACAAAGCTCAATACTAGTAACTTAGCCACCTATAGATCAAGAAGTGACTTGCTCATGGCCTTAAGTGCTTACTTGCTGAAGATTCCTACTCCCTAATGGCCCTTTCGTCTATCAGAAAACTGCATGGTGAGGTCCACTATATGAAGAGTAACAGGAAATATTAATGTTAAGGAAAAAAGAAGTATTTCTAGTAGGGAACATAACTGACCAGTTAAGCAAGAAAAATCTCTTGAAGTTAAAGCAAGCTTGGGCTTCTTTTCATAAAATGTGCAAATGAGCCTTCCTGCACCCTACATGTTACACACTTGATGCAGAAGCCACCACAATGTGGGTTCTTACGGCCTGCAAGTATATATACATCACCAAGGAGTTGTCATAGTGCTTTTGCCCTTAAAGACAGGAATTTTCCTCAATGGCTGAAAAATAAACAAACAAAAAGCCACAGAAGTGCTTCAGTAAACTGTTCT